CGTTCTGCATTGGCGTCGCAATATCTAAATCCGTACATGTTTATACCAGCCAATCAGCTGGTCACATGACCATTTGGCTTTACTAGAGGTTCTCTAGTCTCTAGCGCCTAGCTGTGGCGATTGAAATCAAACTGGTGGCCGCTCTCATGCTTCTCGCTGTTTTCAGTATTGGCAAGGAATTTCGAAACGTAACCTGTGTTACTTGCTTCTTGTTTCTTGATTTGGAACAATCCATCGTCACCTAATGCAGGATTCACACTGCGTCCGATGTCCGACGTACGATATCCGATATTCAATAGGAGAACAGCTTTTTAATAGAGAAATAAATTCTCCATTGGAAAACTGTTTTTCTGTGGGATATCGGTACGTCGGACATCGGACGCGGTGTGAATCCTTCATAATATTCCCAACACGTAATCTGTGTGTGCCGATATGTAGTCTGTTCTTTTTAGCTGCACTGCTGAACTAGTGCAATAAATTAAAATGAGACAAATATATTTTTCTCACTCTAACTTATTAACTAGTTCAGCAGTGCAGCTAAAAAGAACAGACGAATTGACTGCCAGCACTGAAAACGTATAGTTTATGTCACGTATACTATAGATTTTCAGTAGTGGCAGTTAATTTCGGAATACAGTCTTTAGGTTTGTTTGCATCGCATGCCCCAACGTGCTCCTACTCGCTCCAACGCACTCTGATTGGTCCGCATGGTGACGTGCATTTATTGCACTAGTTCAGAAGTGCAGCTAAAAAGAACAGACTACATACCGGTAGGGATGTTGTATCGATAACAAAAGATCGATATATCGTATCGATACATATCGTGGAACAAAATATCGATACACCAAATATATCGATACAGTGAATATCGAACGTATCAATAAAAGAATAAATGAGCTGTTCTTTTTAGCTGCACTGCTGAACTAATGCAATAAGTTAGAATGAAAAAAAAGTATGTTTGTCTCACTTTAACTTATTGCACTCGTTCAGCAGTGTAGCTAAAAAGAACAGACCTAATGCTCACCACACACACTTTCTGTAACAGTAAAGGCCATGGCACACAAAATAACTGAAGCAGTAGGACTTTTGGTTCTCGCAGACCAGCGCGATGCGCGACGCGATTTGCGACACGCGACATCCAATGAACATACAAACTGCTGCACTTATTGCACTAGTGTAACAGTGCAATAGAAAGATAGAAAGAAAGATAGTATAAGTTTACTCTTGGTCCGATAGACTGTTTGTCAAAAAACTTTTTTTTAATTTTTCGGGCTTATAATTAAACTTATTGATTTGTGCTTTTGGAACAATGTTTGGAACAACTAGAACAATCTATATCGGTATCGGAATGCTTTATTTTCAAAAAATGGGGTGCCAGGTCAAAAACATTTTTTTCATTTTTTGGACTTATAATTCAACTTACGGATTTGTCCTTTTGGAACAATGTTTGGAACAACTAGAACAATCTGTTGCGGTATCAGAATGTTCGATTTTCAAAAAGTGAGATGCCAGCTCAAAAAATAATTTTTTTTTGTTTTATTCGAAAACCGTTTCGAATAAAGCAATATCACTTTGGAACAATGTGGTACAAAGTCAGAACAATCTGGAACAACTTTCAAAATTATAAATTTCAAAAAGTGTGCCAACTTCATACACTCCTATCGACTACGATTGCCGACTCCCAATGGACCAATCATAGTGAGGCGCTGACTCGGCGCCTGTGCAGTCGGTAGTCTAATACGGGCTTAAAGAACGGATGCGCGCGCGCGGAAAAGATGCTGTTTAACCTATGATTTGTTCATGAATTTGGTTTTGTGAGTGATGTAGATGAGATATAAAAATAGTTGCAGAAATCTAAGCAAAGATGAATTTCATATTGGAACGGTTGCACGTTCAAGAGAGAATTGTCCTCGAATGTGGCAAATCTGTAAGCGGCAATGCTTAATATATATTAAGTAAACATTACCATTGTTCTTGTTAAGAGGTTTAACTGTTGTAACATAATAAAAGAATTTCCGTATTATCAGACACGCAACGTAGATAAGACATGCAACTTAAATTTTATTCTTATCTAATAAATTATAATCTTGCTTGTATTATGATGCAAGATATTTCAATGACACAATGACGCTATTTGAGTTGTAAATAAAAAACCAAGGGATAAGTAGCAATATATCTTCACTATAAAATTGCAAGAAGTTACACATTTAATTCATTGTTTTACATATCTGTAATATATGCAATATTTGGTAGAAACATGACTTTTCTCATATTTGTAACAAAGTTGGGTATACTTATATAGATATTATATAGTCTTTTCAGTATAAATTACACATATATATATATATATATATATATATATATATATATATATATACTAAATATACTTTTAACACTTAAATTTTTGTATATGTAACTTCAATATATATATATATATATATATATATATATATATATATATATATATATATATATGTATTATATGTCATATATACATGATTTTCTTGTGATAATCTTGTGAATATTTATCTCCTTGTGCTATACATATATATTCTATAACATAAAATAAAGTGTGATGTGTAATAACATATTCTGTCTTTTGTTCTGTTAGTACACTTGTGGTAGAGGCAAAGGAAATATGATTGTATGCCTAGGTCTACAGGTATCCCGTAAGCATTGTGTTTTTTTCCACGCTATGGACAAGCTATTCGTCACAGATTTGAAGGTATGTGTGGAATATATTTCTATATCGACATATTATAAAAATTGCATTAAATCTTTGTTAATTACCTTTTTCATGAGCAGAGCTCAAATGGAATTTTCATCAATGGCAAACCACAATCGCCGTATGAAATGGTACAGCTTCAGCAAAATGATATTGTTGGAATTGGCTGTTCAGATATTAATCCAGAGGATATCACACTATTTGCATATAAAGTTTACATTGCAAGGGTATAACATTTTCTTAAAATTATAGTTGATATTTATAATATGTTAGAAGTTCAATTTTAGTCATTAGAATATCAAAATGTTCTCAGACATCAGATCCTGCTGAAGTAGCAAATACAAGTGATATGTCGACAACAGTACTAATTTGTGATACAATAGTAAATCAAAAGCAGTCTAATTCTGATATACATAATGCTTCAAGAGACAAACGTGCTATTTCTCCAAATAACTGTGATATGGCTGTTCCATGTAAAATACCAAAATACAAACTAGATAATAATGATAATAATTATGATATTAATATTTCTGAAAGTAAGTCCTTTTTTACCAACTGATTAAAGGATGAAAGAAATGCTGTAATTGAAATTTGATTTCTTTTATACTGAATATTATTATTAAATTAATTAAATTTTTTTACAGAAATTAAGTCTGGTAGTCTACCTGGCCCTAGTACCAGTACAAATCTTGCTCAAAATGACAACAGTAACACAAATAATGTTGAAATTATATCTGATACTGTCACACATATAAAAGAGGAAAATGATGTTGAAATTATTGATACAATATTTCCAGAAACAAGTGAATGGAACATTGGAGATAAAATTCTTAAGTATGAAACATATTTAAACCTTAAATTAGAAAAACCTTGTTATCAAACTAATAACAAAATGGATATCTGTATTGATAAGAATAATAAGGGTAACAGTAATAATAGTGAGGCCGTAAATGAAGAATACACTACAAGAGAAAAAACAAATGGCCTTGATAAAATAAATGACGTATCAGACTTAAAGGGAGCTAACTTTATACGTAACAATGACCAACTTATTAAGCTCGAAGATGAATTGCAGTTAACAGATGAAGATGAAAAAGCTCATGTAGCAGTTGAAAATAGTGAAGCGTCTAAGACAACAATCAAATTGAAAAAAATAAAACATGAGCCGAAAACGCGATTCTCGGAAATTGACATTGTCGATCTCAGTGACAACGAGGACGGAATATTTCCGTACTCGCAGTTGTTTGATATCAAATTTGAAAATAATGTGAAGCAAGAAGTGGAGATTAAACAAGAGTGCACCAATAACGACATCGAGAACACAGTTCCGTTGGACATCGACAAGGAAGTCATTGTATTAACAGACAGTGAAGATGATGATAATCCGTGGTTGCATCGTTTATCTAGGAGTCAATTGATGAACGAAGATAAGCCTGATACAGTACAGTCGATCATAAAAGATGAGATAGATTTGGGGATTTGGCACAAAAATACTTCGGAGATAATACAAGATAGTGTACCGAGTACTTCCAAAGACTTTAACAAGGTAACTGGGAATAAAACTAGAAATGAAATTAAGGCACAGTCGGCTAATATTGATACTTTCGAAGATTTTGCCTGCAAAGAAACATTTCTTGAACCTAAAAATATAGACAAAAAGATGGAATGTGATGACAATAGTGATATTAATTTATCAGTGGCAAAAACAGACGCGATGGATGTAGATGAAGCCGGTCCATCTAACGAGCCTAGTATAGAAAATATTAATCATACAGCTAAACAGAAAACAGATGCAAAAGAAAATGCAGAACCACATAAACAAACAGAAGTCAATGCAAAATATAGTTCGAGGTATGCCACAACTAGAAGGGTTATTCCAGTAATAGAGGCGCCACATTTGCCTACAAGAAGAGGTCGACACAAGAGCAGCGATCGTAAAAAGGATTCAAACAAAGACTCTAACAAAGACTCCAGCAAAGACTATAGTAAAGCACCAGAAACATCCGAGGGAAGATCACCGTCCAGCTCAACAACGGAAGAAGATAAAATACAGAAAGAACAAAACAAAAGGACGTCTAAAGGGTCGCCTGATCATACCGCATCGAGCAAGCAGAACCGAACATCCATTTCTAAGGAGGAGAAGAAGACAATAGCGGAGGAGAGAAAGGTCAAGTTGAAGAGGATTGCCGAGGAAGAGAAATTGGCGTCTGATAATAATAAAAATGTTAAACGCGGCACCGCTAAACCGAGGGTTAAAATATCGTTGAAGAATCGAGGGGACTTCCTGTGCAACGAACAACAGCCGCGTGTATCTAAACCACCCGCAAACAAGTCTGCAGAGAGAGCAAGATCGAGCAACAAAGCTAAGCGCGCGACATCAACGTGCGAATCTGACGTGCAGGAATCCGTGATGCATGACATCGAAATGAAGAAATCAGGCAAAGACAATATTTCGAAGAGTACAGTAAATAACGTTGCCACATCGCTAGAACAGTCTTTATCCCTAAATAATATTCTGGACGGAATTAAATTGCCTGTAAAATACAACAACACAAAAGATTCTAACGTGAACAATATTTTAGACCAGAAACGCGATAGTAATAAGATAAAACATAAAAGCACTGAAAATACAACCAATTCCAGCGGAAAGACAATATTAAAATCAACTGAAATATCTGCTGAATGTGCTTCTGTTTCAAACAAGGAAAACAGTCTCTCACCAAAACTTGCTAAAACGAAGAAGAAAGGTGTAACTTTTGCCACGAATGTGGATATAAAAGAATTCGCGATTGAATCGGAAAATATGATGAAAAAATTAGTCGGGAAAGATGCGCCGATCCCATTTAATAAATTAGTCAAAACAAAAGCCAATGCGGAGTGGAGCCCGAAATTAGAAGAGTTCCTGTATCGCATCTTCATGTGGAACCCTGTATGGCTCGAAGAACAACGTTACCTCAAGACTGAACCACCGATCGTGTCGGAAGAAGAATTGAAGCAAATGAAGATACATTATGAATCCTACTGGGACTACTATAGAGTCATGTTGCCTCTTTTATTACTCGAGACATGGCACAGTATAAACAGAGATTTCGAGACTGTCGCAAAGAATGCACAACATAAGACCGCGATGTGTTCCATCGTCGCGAACACCATTTCGCGTTCTCAGATTCCGACGACCAACTTATCCTTGACAGTTCTTATGCTCGAAGTGTTGGTCACACAGGAAGATTTAAACAGGCAATCTTATCCGAATTTTGGCGACTTGGTGTCTCTCGAGTACGTTCAATACAACAAAAACCGTAAGCAAACCTTCCACAAAGTGTTCGCGTACGTCACTAGCATGAACCAGATGCCCATCACCAATTTCACATATTACAATAGAGAGCTAAGGAACCACGTACCCAACGCACATTCAGTGATAACGTATAGCATACAAACGCGACCTATCGAACACGATATTCTCCTGAACAGAATACATAGAGTTCGCACAGTAACATACCTACGAGCGAATATGAGAATGGTGCAAGCACTACAATACTTACCTCAGTCGCCTCTTCTGAATTTGATTTTGAATCCGAAGATCTATGACTATCAGTTGCCGCCGTTTAATACGTCGTTCAATTGTACCTCGCTCGTTACAAAAGACAACTTAAACTTAAAACAGCTGGAGGCTGTATCTAGAGTAACGGACGTTGTGATAAAGAAAGAAGCTAAACTTTGCTTCATTCAGGGGCCACCAGGAACAGGCAAGTCCAAAGTGATCGTGAACTTGGTGGCACAAATATTATACGGCAAGCGCGAAAATAAAAACGACAAGACCAAGATCCTGCTTTGCGCTCCGTCCAACGCCGCGATTGACGAAGTTGTGATGAGACTTCTTGCCATCAGATCAAATCTGAAGCATCAATATAGTTATACTTTTAATTTAGTTCGTATCGGGCGGCCGGAAACCATGCATCCAAACGTTAAACCTGTTTCCCCATCGGAACTGGCGAAACGACATTTGAGAAAATTCACGGAGAACGTGATTTGCTGGTCGAGTAACTCTACAACTAACCTTGAAGGGGAAAAAACGAAGTTACAGTCGCAAATGGAAGAGTTTCGCGCTGAACTTGATAATGTAGCGAGTCTGTCTGAGGCAAAGAGGAGGACGATCAAGAGAAAATTAATTGATGCGCTTGCGAGGTATGAACTGTTGATAAGCAATAAGTTGTTCGATGACGTCAATGTCAAGGATCGCCTAAGGTTCCAACGCTCCACTGAGGACATTATTCTCGCGGGCGCCGATATAATCGCTTGTACACTCTCCTCTTGTTACACTAATCAGATGGAATCTATCTTTGGCGCCAACAAGGAAAGGCTCTCTGTCTGCATCGTTGACGAAGCAACTCAGAGTTGCGAGGCGGAGACCTTGATACCATTGATGTTGGGGGTGAATACTTTGGTTCTGGTGGGCGATCCGAATCAGCTACCTGCGACTATATTGAGCCAGCGCGCGAAAAAACTGGGATTAGATCAGTCGGTGTTCTCGCGAGTACAACTTGCCTTTGCATCAGAAACGAACAGTCCCGTAATGGTGTTAAACACCCAATACCGTATGGCGCACTCCATTTCGTATTGGCCGAACCAATATTTCTACGAGGGCAAATTGATAGACGCCGTCGAAATTAGGCTGAACTTCCCATTTTATCCTTATAGAGTGTTGAGGCATACTTCGGTACAGAATAATGACAGGTTCTCCAACACTACCGAGGCGGAATTCGTAGCCAATATGATCTACGCGATGTTAATATATGCTAAATGGGAAAACGCGAACGAAACGATCACTCTCGGTGTACTTACACCATATAACAACCAAAGAACTGTTATATTGAACAAAATTAACGAGAAGTGAGTCCCAAAGAAGCCAAAAAAACTTGTCTATTTAAGTTCAACTGCGGCGAATTGCGGACTTATGAGATATCTGTCTTTCAGGATATCTACTTTGCCGGTAAATATGAAAAAGAAGATTGCTTTCGAAGTTAACACAGTCGATAGTTTTCAAGGACAAGAGCGAGATATTATAATAATGTCCTGCGTGAGAAGCCACGGTATTGGATTCATGTCTGACAAACAGAGGCTCTGTGTAGCCCTCACAAGAGCTAAGCATAGTTTGATACTGTGCGGAAATTTTACTACATTCGAGGTAAGAAGATATGATTTTACAAAAAAACTATATGAGATGAAAATCATCGATTTTGCTGAAATTTTGTATCTTGTCGAACCGTACAAGCACATTTTTTTCTTTTTTTTCATAGAAATTATTCTAGTATAAAAACCCATTTTCAAGGCGATTTTTGGGAATTAATTTTAAACAAATGATTAAACCTACAGGGTTAATGTTTTGTTCACTTGTATTTTCTTTAATTTTGAATTAAAAGTTTTGACAAAATTTGAGATGTTTCTTCGAAGATGGATAAATGTCAATACAAAAAATTAACTCTGTAGATTTAACCATTTATTTAAAATTAATTTTCAAAATCAAGTCTTGAAAACGGGTCTTCACATTAAAATACCCCCGTAATATGAGAAAGTAAAAAAGAGATTTTTAATTTGTTTTTTTCTTTTTTTTAATTATAAGTTTCACATATGATTGGATGGTAACTCTCACAAAGAGAGGGAGAGAGACTTAAAACATAAAGACTTCTTACACCACGAACAAAATACAAATGCTTCATTTCCACAATTATTTCCACAATATTGCTATATAAATATTTCAGATATCTATACAAATAAACATCGGAAAGCTTATTATTATTATTTTTACAGACAAGTACAAATAAAAAAAAATATTTTCTATTACGCTTTTTTTTAGTTATATTAATATTAAATGTATATATACAAAGTGTTCCAATTTAATTTAGACACAGTAACATCTCGAAAACTGCATTGAAAAAATGTTTCAAATAATAATTCAAATAAAAGTTGTAGGGTTTAGAGGAGGCCATCAAATGAGCTATTCAGATTTTGGATTCAGAGTCTGCTTTAGGCTCAATAAAGCTCAAATTGATTCCTTTCGATGGAAACACATTTCTTTACCGCAGATTCGTATTCTATGGAACAAAATAAGAAAATTTGGTTTCTGATTATTGTTTGCGAAATCCCCCTCAACAGAACCAAAATTGTCAAAGTTCTTATTTTGAAACACATTTTTTACCAAGATATTGAAAAAATAACGGATTTGATCAATAAATTTATATTTAAATGTTTTGAAGTGGCGATTTGATAGTTTAAATTTTGGTTGCGGAGCACGGAACTCAAAACTTCTATGATAGTTTGATCTACTATATCGAAAAGCTAAAGACTGATTTTAAGATAATTTTGCAGTCAAACATGATGATTTCAAAACGAAAGGATTGATTGGGGCTTGATTGAACCCAAGACTGACACCGGCCTCAAAATTTAAACAAACTATCAAATCACCACCACAAAATGTTGAAATATAAATTTATTTGTCAAACCCGTCATTTATGGAAGGTGTGCAAAGTTTATTGTTTAAAAACTTGAAAACAATTGAGTGTCTGAGCAAACATGGATAAAATATTTTCCGATTTCTGACCTATCTATAAAATTTCAGCCAAATCGATTATTTATATTTCGTGTAGTTTCCTTGTCAAACTGAGTGTTTTTACTTTACTGGTGAACTTAATTTAACGAAAGAACCTTTGCTTTACAGAAAGATCCCATGTGGAATTCATTGATATATAATGCAAAGACCCGTGGAGTTTTATGCGACGTTGATGCCAATGCAACATCAGCCACTATCAAACCATTCATCGTTAAATGAAGAACTTGTCAGTGTTCGATGTACTTATTATCGGAAGCATTACGAAAAAAATTACACCTTTTTATATGTTGTTTTTGTACATCTTGTAAATATCTATTATTAGTTTTTAGATTTAGAATTTTTGTTTAAGCAGATCGCTGTACTTTTCGTGAGAAAAGTGTAAGTGTCTTGAGATGATCTTTCTTTTAAAAAAGTATTATCTTGCTCAACTTTCTATGAATCATCATATTTATCATAGATTTAATTAAAAATTTGTCATTTTCGCTGTATGTATAAAAACATGCCCTAAATAAGGTTGCGAATCACACTATAAAATTTCGTTCATTTTTTTATATATTACTTTTAAGTATATTCTCAGGAACATTGTTGTTCATTGTCATAAACATTGTATATTCTACCTGTATAGGGTAGAACCTTAGATTTAGTGAGTTTTAGACCTTGTTGCACCAACATTATTTTGACTTTAAGCAAAATTCAAACATATATCTATCTTCCTTTCTAAATAAATAAATATATATATATATATATATATATATATATAAATAAATATATATATATATATTTATTTATTTATTTATTTATTTATTTAAGTTTTGCTTTTAAAACCAAAATAACATTGGTGTAACTGGGCCTTAGTGATTTAGTTTACTTCTATTTTTGCGATAAATTATTTGACCAATATAATGTGTCAAGATGTCATTATTGTAACATTAAATATTTTTTTTAGAATTCATAGTTTGTCGACATTTCTATTATCACAGAGGATGCATTCAACAAATAAAGCTATTGAATTATTTTCTTTTGGAAAGTGGATGTGCGATTGATAAATTTAAAAGTATACACTAATGATAGATAATTGTGTTTATAGTGGACAGTTTTCCGAATAAACGATAGTAGCAATCGTATGTTAAATCATCCTTAAGACTGAGTAAGGACCATTGTTTCTACTGTTTGTACTATCTCTAAATAATTATAATTATATAGTTTGTAAGAAGCTCTTTATTTTCAATGTAAAGTCCTTCAACTGAAACTCAAAAGAACGTTTTCATTAGAAAGAAAAGTCATGCATATGTTAAATAGATCGCGCAGACTTTTAGCCATTCGACTTCACTATTACACGAGTGCTCCTAATGGGCGCGTTCAGCAGAAAAAGCGCTTAGTGGCAATCAGCGATTATTGGTTCTTACTGTTAGATCCTTAAATCTGGACCAATTACATTGACGAATTACTCAACAGTTGCAGAACAATTCGTCAATGTAATATATATAAACAACGGTATATTAAGCGGTATATAATACTCATCAACAAAACGTATTGTATTGATAGAATGCGTCGCTTGTATTGATAGTATGCATTGTCGATATTAAGATTATCTAATAGAAAGTTACTATTTAGTATGCGTATCAAGTGCACGATGTAAACCAGGCCAGTATCGATAATCGCATTTGGTTCACTTTCATTACGTCACATTAAAAGTTTCGACCTAGCCGCCGTTATGACGGCGCTGTGTTCGAACAAGTTCGGACCTTGAGATTTTTGGAACCTTGGTACCTTGGAATCTTCCTAGGCTTTGATTCTTGTTAAAATTCTTTCAAATAACCTTGTTGACTCAATATTAAACTTTATTCTCATATTAACTTGAAATGGTATTGGAGGATATGTCTCCTTGAGAATCCCCGTAACTATATACTGAAAGAAGGAAGGAAGGATTACGTCACATCCTTCGTATTTCTAACAAAGGATTTTCTCTTTATGCTTCTTCCTGGTATTCTTTATTCAATGGGTGCTACTTATCCTATTTCATCTAAATCGGAACTAAATAGATCACGTGATGTGGAGTGGGGATATGAAATCTAAAAGAGCGACGAAAGTAACTGCGTGCAGTAACGAGCAATCCTGCTGAACGACAATGAAAGGCGAAATATCTTACATATTTATATAAATAAATATTACTAATATCAGTAGTAGTATATATATAATAATAATATCGTAGAAATAGAATTGTGTATGAAAAAAAGGTAATAAAACTAACCTATAAAATAAGCAAACTGATCTGCAACCTAAACAAATACAATAGTACTTTAATTTATTGAATACAATATATATGGAATATATTTATCTTGGTAGGATTTGAACTTCAATTACTGGAACTTACCCAGATTACTAGCAGAGAGAATTTAAAAAGAATTCAGTTGTATGTCACCAATTCTGAGCTTATCTTCAGATGCAAAAAGAGTTCTTTTCACTGACTGAACTCTGAAGAATTCTTTTTGCATATGAAAATGAACTCAGAATTGGTGACATACGACTGAATTCTTTTTGAATTCTTTGGTCTGGGATAACATTTTTGACACATGAGATAATCTCATGAATATTGCTCAAGAGTAGAAAAAACTACATGTAGCTACTTTCAGATAGTCTGCTGCTTCAACTGTAGTTCTGCTGTATTCCTGAGATAGATCTGACATTGTTCGTCGATTCATATCTACAGTTGGCACACTTTGCTGTAACATCATGGTGAAATTTCGAAGCATGACAACAGACGAGTACAAGATGGATCGATCAGCGTTCAAATTGCTATATGCGTTCCATCCAACGCCCTTTGGTAAATGTCTCATTGCTATAACCGACACCAACAAAGCTGTAGTATACTTGGGATTCGTCGATGGCGTCGAGACATATGCTCTGAGGGTCTTGGAGAATGAATGGCTACTCTCTGAGATATCAGAAGACACAGGAAACGAGACGAAGAATATAATCGAGGAGATCTTCCAGCCTGATGTATCTTCACTGGATTCCATTTGCGTCCTCCTGAAAGGCACATCCTTTCAAGTGAGCGTGTGGAAGTCTTTGATGACTATCCCTAAAGGAGAATCCGTCACGTACGAGGAAGTCGCAAAGATGGTCGAGAATCCCAAAGCTGTACGCGCGGTAGGAAATGCGATTTCTAAAAATCGCATCGCATACATCGTGCCATGCCATCGCGTGAAAGGTAAAATGGCAAATAACGATAAGTATGTTTGGGGAATGCAACGTAAGCAAGCTATCCTGAAATATGAAAGAGAGTTAACGTAGGAGGTCATGGAGATCGCATCACTATTTAAATTTTTATTTGGATAATGAGTTTTTTTTTATAGTGATGATGTACCAAACTATTTTTTATATAAAGAGCTGCATACGCTTATTTATAGATACGCGTATGTATATATGCCTTTAAAGTAGTTTTTCATTTTTGTGTAATTATTGTCTTTTATACAGGGAGGCGCAAAAAAAGCGAATGGTTGTTAAACATTTATAAAAATTTTATTTTCAAATTTTTAATTTATTTTGATATGAAATTATGAAGTTTAATTTACGAAGATTTTTCCTGATCTCCTTTATAAAGTTTGGAAAGAAAAAAAAAAGAAAAATTTAAAAAGTTATGAATTTTTTAAACCAGTTTGTTTCTTTTGCGCCACCCTGTATAACTCATATATTTTCTATTGTACTTCAAACTGAAGTCACATGTGTTGAACACCTGAAATGTGATAAGACAAACAATAATTTAAAGATGTGCAATGTAAAGCAGGTCTTTATGTTGAATAAATTGTTTTCTTACATATGTGATACATGTTTATTTTTGTCACATACACTGAATCATGTAAAAGTACAAAATTTTGTTAATACATTAAAATATAATGATCATGCATTTTAAAGATCTCTTGCATGATTTCAAACACTCCCTAATACATTGCGACCCATACGATGGTACATAGTTGTCAAAATACGGTTCGTATAATCAGCCGACAATATAGATCTGACACAACAGTTGCGTTCGTTATGAAAAGCTATTTTACAATTGCAAAATTTCCTACTGAATATCGCTAAACGATTTTCACTTCTTAGATATTTTCCCAGTAAACACAACGTTACATGTAACGTATATATTGGTTATAATTTCCTACCCAACAATATAACTGTTATATAACAGTGTTATATACGTGTTATATAACAGTTACATTGTTGTGAATAGAAAATTATAATTAACTTGTACGTTATGTTCATGTAACATTGTATTCACTGGGTTTCTTCTTTTAGTGTAAGTGGTAATTTTTTCCAGCATAGAGACATGTATGATAAACTTTATGTGTTGCATCACAAAGTACTAATGTAGCGTCAACTTCTGAATGCCAAGTCGTTTCATTGTTGCGATACATCATTAGCTTAGCTGTCATTATTTGGCAACGACGAATTTATGAAAATACAAACATATTCTGTATCTGATGTGTATTTTAATTTTAATTCTTATTTTTACATCTGCACTCAGCACGATTCTCATAGCTCAATGAACCGACAGAACGTGATTTGTAGTTGTTTTTCTTGCGAGGAGCCAAGCCGCCAAGTTCGTTCTGTAGCGAAAAATTTTACTCTTGACGTGCTCCGTTGTTTGATAGTTTTTTCAGACAGATTCGGTGTTATTTTTCAAACGTGTTTCTAGAATCCCAGTACGGTTCGTCCGTATCAGATAGACCGAATGTCAACAGACGTCAGTCATATAATTATACTATATTTGATAGTTCATATTGGAGTCATAACAACACGTTTGGAAAATAACACCAAATCTGTTTGGAAAAACTGACATCAAACTTGCAACGGAGCAGGCTAAGAGTCAATTTTCTCGATACAGAACAAACTTTGCGATATGCATGATTCCTTACAAAAAAAAAACAACTTCAAATCACGTTCCGTGAACATCAAGCTTTATAGATTGAATTGACTTGGACAATTCAACGTAATGACTTAGTATGGACCGCGATGTGTTACGAATGTCAATTATTGTCGCATATATTTACATCATATTTGAATTTGTTGACTGTATTATCTAGCCAAAGTTGAGTACTTTCATAATCGTTTTGTACACTGAGAGAAAAAATATCTAGAAATTAATAAATATTTATTTGGTGGAGGTACTAACAGTATATTTATATAAAAAATAGGATAAATAATTGCTTAATGAAAAATTAAGGTTTTTTCTTAAGGACTTAAGAAAATTTATATTTTCTTATTTGAAATATATATATATATATATATATATATATATATATATATATATATATATATATATATATATATATATA